TAAACAGAATGAATAACTGATCTTGGTGTACAACATCTCCTTATGCATTCATTTGAGTACAGTATTTGTATACATAGTCCCATGATAAACTGAAGTATGTGTCATGCTGTCCTTGGCCTCATCTGTTTACCTCGGGCTTGTGAGTGGACTCCAGGGTACCGGATGTCAGTCCTGGATAAGTTTAAAAGTTAGGGAGCACTGCGTCCGAGAGAAATTATTCGCCTCATTTTGTTCAAAGAGATTTACTGCATCAGAACTCCATTTAGGGATTGGATATGTTGATGAGTAGAGAAAATGTACTTACAGTTTGAAATGCAATCCATGCGTAACTAGTAGAGTTACATTAGTTGCTTTCCAAGGATTTCCCGAAAGGTGTTCTCTGAAGCCTGCCTTGGAGAAGGCATTGAATGTGCCCAAACCCATGCCCCTTCTGTATGTATGACAAAAGAAAACCCAATTCCTTCATTGGAATGAGTCATACGGAAATAAGCTTTAAGGTGTTCACATCTTCGGGCAGATGCTAAAAGGAAGTGCACATGTGGAGGTTAGTGTTTAGTGGCCAACCAGCAAGTGGGTGGAAGACTGGTCCTGGTGCAGAGGTGAGTGCCTCTGCGTCCCACCATCACCGGAGAGACCACAGTAGGCACTCGAGTTCTTTAAATACTGTGTGGCTGTACTTCATGTCAGATGTACTTAGGTTGTTAACCTGCATGTGGGCCACATTCCAACACTGTTTAGAAATGTTCCAGCCTTCACAGATCTCCTACAGTTACATTTTAAAAGATGATCTAATTCTCTTCCCTGTAAGCCAAGGAAAAGTTGATATATAAGTACATCATTTAATGATTTCTACTTGAAGATTTTTTTCCAGAAAAAACTTGAAATTCAACTAAAAATGATTCCATCATCCTAGCACCACTTCGAATAATCTTGTTTTTTGTGGCTGTGAGCTCAGTGTATAGGAAACAGTATTCTACTTAGGTAGTTAAAAGTTAATAAAGATGGGAAGGGGCTGGGGATTTAGCTCAGCGGCAAAAGCGCCTGCCTGGCAAGCGCAAGGTCATGAGTTCGGTTCCCAGTACCGGAGAAAAAAACCAAAAAAAAAAAAAATAAAGATGGGAAACAAGAACAAAGAGCAGATTTTCAATCAAGTTGATTTAACAGTGTATAGTCCCTCACATGTTATAATAATGTGAGACTTTTTACAGTTCTTTCACAGCATCAGGAAAAAATTAAAACATGGATGGCCACGGACTATATCTAGAATTCAAATGAATGAATGTGCAAAGTGTTCTAGCACGTAGTTTTTGTTTGTTTGTTTGTTTGGTACTGGGAGTCAAACTCAAGACCTCAGGCTTGCCAGGCAAACGCTTATGCTGCTGAACTATATCCACGGCCCTCTAACACATAGTTAAGTGGAATAAACATTGAACTGGAAGTTGTATTCTTAATGTCTAAAGACTAAAACAATTAGTGATCTTTGTATGATCAACAAAAACTAAGTCATTTAAGAGAAGAGAAAGGTGAATTTCTGGTAGAAAAGTTATCTTTCGGTTCGTAATGCTGTAGCTTGAAAAGCATTTTCGCTGTCCCTTTCCCTATGAGCACATTAGAATGGGCTCTTGCCTGTTGGTAGTTTGGATAGAAAGACCTTTTAAGTTTGTTATGTGTTCATGAAGATGACAAGCCAATCTAGTTTCAATTTCCTTTGTTTTTGCTTGTACTGCTTGGTACAAGGACACAATAGGTGTGCTTGAGCTATGTGCCACCATGTCTGGCTTCTGCTCACTTTTCTGTTTTCAGGTGATAAACTCAGGCTTATAAAAAAAAAAATACATATTTTGATGCCAAAGCATGTGTTTTTAATCCTAATTTGAAGTGCATATGACCCAGTTGGAGCTTTTATAAAATTTCAAGTACCTAAGCTATTTTTCAGACCTTGAGTCAAAGGAAAGATCTGAAATTTTTTCAGTACCCCAAGTAATTGTACAGTGTCCACCTGGCACAGTTCATTTTGGTGTTTGAATGCCATAGTACAGCACTGCATGTTACTGCAGAGATGAGACCACGAATTAAAAGCAGAAGCACGATCTGTGTTGAGAAGGGCTGACACAACATAAGCACACGCACTGGCTGGAAGCAGCAGAATTAGTAACAGGCATGAATCTGCTCCTGGAGGAGTCCTGCACAGGTGTTTTTGTGGCTCCTAGGTGGTTGTATAGGGCAGGTACTCAGTAATTCCCATTGTGCTGATGAAGGGAATAGGATTGAATAAGCTCAGATCAAACCTAAGTGCTATAGAGCTTGTGTTTTCAGTCACTACACCATATAATCAGTATTCCCTTGGTCTATGTATGGCCACTTAACTTGGACAAATTGAAAACTTACAGCAGGTAAGTAAAAAAGTTAAAGGCTCTCCCTTTACTGATTCTCAGTAATTGCTCAGTTCACAGAAGATGACATTTGAAATGCAGAAGACTTCTCCTTACAACTAAAACAAAACACTCAAAAGTTTGGCATTTGGATACATTGTAACAAATTTAAATATCTGTTAATCATTTTGTAAATTCATACCTAGTTTAAAGTCCTGGGGTTTGGTGGTGGTGTATGGCTTTAATCCCAACACTCCAGAGGCTGAGGCAGGAGGACTGCATGAGTTCAAAGTTAGCTTGAACTACATAGTGAGACCCTATCATTAAAAAGTGGGTTTTGGAGTTGTCAGACTTGAATATAAATCTTGTCCTTCAGTGTAACTTGTACTTGGCACATCAAGGCTTAGTCACATCTTCCAGAAAAGCAGTTAATAGCTCACTGAATGGTACTGTACGTATTAGAATGGTTTGAAAGCACCAGAGGGGACAGATAAGGCAAAATTGGGAACACTGCAGGTCCTGCACAGTAATTTGATATGTCAAATGACCTAGCTTAAGTTGAAAAGGAATCTAAAGGGACAGATTTTAGAGCCATTAACCAAATACAATGTACAGGCCTTATCTGGTTCTCAATGTGAACAGACTTGAGTTTTGGGACATACATAGTAAAATATGACAGATGTAATGACGTTTGTCATTTGTGTCAGGGTGGCTGGGAAGATAGTGGGTTGTGGATAAAATGACTGCAGCCAATAAATAGAAAATTACCAGCCAGGGTGGTTTAGCCCCGTTACACTCAGAAGTTCATCCATGCCTAGAGCTGCGTGGCCACACCCAGCTCCCGGGATTAGCTTCATCTCTACTACAGATAGCGCTGGACACGCTACCTTCCCATGAGCCAGGGAGTTCCACACTGTTTGCATCTGGTGGGCCTACGAGAGCAGCTGCTGCCGATCACATCAGGTGACCAGACACAGCTCCAGAAAGCTGTTCTCATCTAACTTGATTCCCCGTTACCGCCTCTCCCTGCAAGATTACCAATTTCAGTGAATGAGGATTGTCATGGTTTGTATCTAGATGTACCCCCAAAGCTTCATGCAGTCCTAAGTGGCGCTAAATCTAGAGTGTGTGATGTTGTGATTACTAAATTAGTCCACTGATTGCTTTGGCATAATTCTGGGTAGGATTAAGGGTGCCCCAACCTGGGTGTGAGTGATATCTGCCCTAATGGTGGGTAGGCTGGATAAGCTAGAAGGGATAGTTAAGTGGGTCAGGTCAAGTCATTTTCCTGTTGCTTACTGCTTGCTGCCTTCTCTGTGATGCCCCTCTGCCAAACCACCCTGCCTTGGAGCCTGCAAACTATGAATTAAACCTCCAGAAGCCCTGAGGTAAATAAGCCTTTCCTCCTTTAACCTTGGGTATTGGGCATTCGTCTCAAACTTCTTTCTTGTTCAAGTGTTACCCTCCCTTCCCAAGCACATGGTTCCGAGACCAGCAAACGGAAAATGACGTGGGACTGTGCGTGCCTCAGGCATGGTGCCAGGCTGGAGTGCGGCTCGGTGAGCACTGCTAACTGCGTAGGGGTGGGCGTTCCATCCCCGGCCTGCTAGGTACCTGACGGGAGGCACTTTAAGGAGAGTTTGAGAAGCGGGGTTGGTGGGCAGCCCCCTTTCCAGGCCCCTTCTCTCCCTCTCAGACAGAAGCTCTTCTCAACAAACTTCCTACTCTTAAAGGGGCGGGGGGGGGGGTTTCACACGCTTAGCACTTAACATTGTTAAATGTTTTGACAAGGTTCTAATTTATGGGAGTATATCTCATTAGGAAACGGGAGTTTAAGCATTTCTTAAGCCCACTCATTTTGACTAGGTTCTAATGTTTAATGAGAATTGACAGATGAAGCCACACTGCTCCACAACTGAAGCAGCAAAGGGAGCCACAGTCTCACTGCTGAGGTCCCAGCTGGCTGGCTGACCACGCACAGCCTCAGAGAAAGCAGGGGGAGATGAAAGCAGCGTCTTCCAAGGGGCTTTTTAAAAGAGCACCTGGTGTGCAAAACTGCCTTAGCTTTGGCTTTCAGTGACCTTCAGTCATTAGCAGAACAATGGCTTCTGCCTGTTAGAATATTCATAGAAAGTATGGCTTCAGTCCAAAAGGCTTCACGGACAAACCCATTTATAACTGGAGCCTTGTTAACTGAAGTTTCACTGTACCAAAAATACTCCAATCTGTTATGATGCAGAGCAAAATAGTCTATTTGGCTTAAAGTATAAAACCTCAGGCACCAGAGATCTAGAAAATAAAGAATTTCAAATTTATCTTCTCTACCCTGCAGCCTACCTATTTCTGTATTTTAGAATAAGTTTACCTAGTTTTCTTGGGCAATTACACCTAGTATATGATACTTTGGACAACTATTTCCAACAAAATAGGACTTGTGAACAATGTTGATCGCAGCAGTCTCAGGAGGACCAACATAGCAGTCTCCTTTCCCAGCTTTACAGTGTTAAAATTTCAAAATGTGGCTGCCTGAAAACAATCACAGTGCTGCGCTTTGATTATGCTGCTCCACTGTTCGGAAGACATCAGTTAGACTTCCTGCTGGAAGAGCAAAAGAACACCATGGTCAGATTTGTTACTCAACACTCGTTTATTGTTTCTGTGTACAAGGCACTGTGGCACGTGCCAGGAGGGAAAGGAAGATACAAACATGAGTTCAAGTGGACTCTGCCCTCTAGGAGCATACACTCTAGCAGATTAACTGCACACAGGAACTGTGACACCAGACAGCAAGTGATGAGTCACAGGAGACCAAGGGCTGCAGGAAGCTTTCTTAGTTTTCAAACCCAAAGCCAGGCCAGGCCAGGGGCAGCTGGCTGGCTTCTTGTCCTACGGTCATCGGTGTGACAGGCAGGAAAAAGGAAGCGCAGGGCCTGCTGGGTGCGGATGGACTGAGCTGCATCTTTGCTTTCAGCTGAGACTCCAGGTATTAGCAACAGCGCCTGCTACTGCTGCAAGGATGGCAGGAAAAAGGCAGGGGAAACGACCCAACTCACCCTAACTGGCACATAGGAGCACCCAGGATGGTTTGCACTGGCTGGCCCAAGTTCCACCTTTACAGAGGGACAGTGTGAGGAAGGAGGGCAACAACGCTGGGCTCAACACCAGGATCCCTGGCGCGCACGCTTCAGAGCCCTGGCAACCTCCTGGCCTTTAAGCTGCAGACCTTAGACCAAGGGATGTCCTCTCCAACCCTCCCACTGGTACAAAGCCCAGCAAACTGACCATCAGCATCTTAATCACAGCTATTTTAAGGTGGGAATTTCCCCGCCCTTTATCATTTGTAGAAGAGCCCTTAAAAAATAGTAACAAAAAACTAGAATGGCTCCCCTACTCCCTTCCTGACTTTGGTACAGACAAGCAGTACAAGAAAGGGTTTTTGCTTTTAACCAGTTAATGCTTTAGAAGGAAAGTGCCGCTGGTCTTACAAGCAAGGCACCACTCTGATCTGCTCAGTAGCCTAACCTGACAGGTAAACCCACAGCCCCAAGACACCTGGCTCCGTGGGCGTTGGTTCGATTATTAGGACAAAATGTCTGCTCACCACACTGAGCTACTTTAAGTAGTTTGTTAGTCTCTGTGTGCTAGGGATTGAAGTTCTCCAACAGTTTCATAAGCTTGAGCAGAACATAAAGAGGCACTGGAAGTTAAGGGAAGGGATTGTTTTTTAAACAAGCTGCATCGGAGGGAAAAGGTAAGAAAGAGATACAAGCCAGGTACCAGCCTCTTGGGCCTTGGCCTGCCAGAAATACAATGTAACCACAAGAAGAATCTGTGGCCCCCAAGAGGCCAGAAGAGGCACAGTACTTTTCCTACCTCGTTTTCTTTCCTATGTTGCTGGGGCAGTCCTTCCACCCCAAAACATCAGCAGCAGGGGCACTGAGCTTACTGCTCCCTGGCTTCCACCAAAGCTATGCTTAGTCCAAGGCCAGAAGGACACAGAACAGTTAACACTGTGGGGACCACACACCTTGTCAGCCCCCCATTTCATGTCAGAGGGAACACTCCCTTTAGACTCCACCATAAAAACCCAGTAGTAATATGCCTAAATGCCAGTGCTGAAGACAACATCAAAGCACCAACTAGGACTGAGGATGAACAGCTAGGCTTACTGTACACCCCAAGGCTGGTGAAGAGCAGAGGAGGCAACTGCGCTCATCAATGCAAGAGTTTTTTACAAATGCGGCTCCAAGGAACTGCACCTGGTGAGATACTGCTATGTGCAGGAAATGGCTTGTATGGAGTCTCCCGAGTCAGAGTGGTCAGTGCTGAACAGAAGGACTACAGTTAATCCCAGTACCAACCAGGACAAGAATAGGCTGTCACTGACAATGACCTCTTGCTTCTAACATGCACCCCCTACCAAATCACCTCTCCACATGTAAAATGCACTCAGAGAGCAAATGCAACTGGAGCAATTATACAGAAACAAGACCCAGCAAGTGCTGGGGGCACTGTATGGGTGTGGGGTGCCTGTGGGAGCAGTAGCTTTTAAACAAAAGTGCTGATAAAACCTTGGTTTTATAATTTATTTTTCCTTTCTATAATAATTACATTGTACCTGGGGAATGGCTTATAAGATTTCACAGATACTGCAAAGAAAAATATATTGTAAAATGTCATTTTCTGTTAACATTCTTGTAGAAAGACTCTTAGCTGACAATCCCATAAACTTTAAACCATATTAATGTATGAAGCTGCCACTACTTTCTTTCTTCTCTTGACCAAAGGAGCAATGTTGTTTTGTACTGAGACTATCCCGTGCCTCATCTAGTGAGTGTCCCTTGAAGGGATGTCCCTCATGCTTTGGCATGCAAGCCAACATACAGTCCTACATCTACACACAAATAACTACTTTCAGCATTTGGGCAAAAACACTTCTACATGTTGGGCTAAAGTTGAGAACCAGAAATCTACAAAAACTCAATTCTTATTTTTTAAATACTTTATATGGTAAAAATACAGCAAAAATAGTTTTTGTTCAAAGACGAAAATATATACTGCTATGGTCATGGTTCTAAGGATGGTTCAGGCAGTCTCTGGCTCCTCCACTGTGCACTGTAGCGTAGGCTGACTTCAAGCACGGCTTCTCCAGCTTCAGTCATTTATCAAAGCTAAAATCATACTGCGGGAAGAAGAAATTCATGTTACATGTTTCCTTAGGAGTCCTCCTACAGAGTCTGGTCTGTCCAGATGGCATCCCTGAGGATCTTCAAAGAATACTCATTGGAATAGAAGCTAAGCAATTATACCTAAAGGAGAGAATACATAAGGACTTCCCAATGCCCTGATTTTTTCACTAAAATGTGAAACTGGGAGTGAAAGTTGGGAAGTATGACCTAAAAGCAATTAAAAGTTATGTCCAGGCATAAAGCTACTTCTCTAGCCAGATCTCTGCACATATTGTTGCTATGTGTGGAAACCGCCCCGACACCATACCAACTTGTACACCCCTTGGCTTCGGACGGGTACTGCAGCACTTGCACTGGGAAACTGGCGTCTCAGCCTGGCACAGCTGCATGGGCTCAGCCTGTCATCTTCCTGCATGCGCTGGCTGACACGTCAGCCTCTACCACCCACATGTGAGCACCTCTGAGACAAGAGCCGGACCAGGACCTTTCCGTGTTAATGTGTTGTGCACCACTCAGGACTGCGGTGGGCACCTGGCTTTCACTGTAGGGACTTCTGGTGCTCCTTCTGTCACCATGGTGCTGCACTATGTCTGATACATGAGAGTCACCCAAGAAATACCCACAAAAACAACTGTGGTTAACAATGATAAACAGTCATTTTCCTTTTATATGCAGGGATCAGCCTTGCTCTGTTAAGATCAAATGACTAAAATGCACAGAAATACCTGTATTACTAATGGTATAAATGATCAGCTGTCCAAACTTAACCACATCAGATATACTCAGAGCACAACACAGACTGATGGTAGTAGCTAACATTTCTAAAAGATGTTTCAGAGTTCATTATTTATTATAGGTCAGAAAAAACGTAGATGCCTCTTGTGTTATTTTCCTTACTTCACACTACAACCCAACAAGGCAGGCATTATTCATAGCCCACTTGCAATGAGAAACAAGCACAGAGAGGTTAAGAAACTTACTCTAAATCAAAAACATATGCAACAGAAAAGATAGCCTCTTTAATAAATGGTGCTGGGAAAACAAGTTATCTACATGAGGAAGGAAGTTTAAACTACATCCATCTCTCTTACCCTATACTAAAATGAAATCAATATGAATTAAAGAACTAGATACAAAAACAGAAACTTTGAGACTATTGGAAAATGACACAAGGAAAACACCCGGACCACAGTCACATGCAAAGACTTCCTAAACACCAACAGCACAGGAAGTATCAAGAATCAACAAATGGGATTAAGTCAAATTTAAAAAGTTTCAGCAAAGGAAATAATAGTAAAGAGACAAGCTATGAAATGGGAGAAAATTTTTGCCAGCTATTCATTCTGACAGGACTAGTATCTAGAATATATAAAGAACTAAAAACAATCCCCAAAACAAAATAATACAATAAAAATGGGCATATAAATTGAATAGATACTTCTTAAAACAAGGACATACAGTCAATAAATACATGAAAAACATATTCATCTTTAGCCATTAGGCAAATACAAATCAAAACAAGATTCCACATTACTTCCATCAGAATGGCTACCACCAAGAACACAAAGGAACCCTTCTATTCTGTTGGTGGGAAGGTGAACTAGTACAACCACTATGCAAGTCATTCCTCAAAAAGCAAAAAATAAGCCAGTGTGGTGGCACATGAGTGTAATCCCAGCAGTGAAGAGGCTGAGGTATAGGATCTCAGTAAGTTTGAGACCAGTCTGGGCTACACAGCAAGACTCTATCCCAAAAAACAAAGCTAAACTAAAAAAAAAACCCTAAAAATAAAAATTCATTTGACCCAGCTAATCTCCCCAGGGTATATTCCTGAAAGAGTTAAAGATGTCAGAATGTAGCAGCAGGTGCATACATACATTTATAGCAGCACAATTCACAGCTAAGCACTGGAGATAGCCTAAATGGCCATCAATGGACGAATGGATAAAATGTGGTATATGTATATGCACAATGGAATATATTCACCCATAAAGAAGGAGGAAATTACAGTACATCACTTGAAACCGTAATATTAAATAAAATAAGTCAGACACAGTTAAGTATTTTACTCGTTCTCATATGAGTAACTCAAAATAGAAAGAGGAAGATAAAAGATACCTCCCTGGTATGAAACAGGGAGGCAGCATTTTGGAGATGGGGAATGGAATCCTGGAAAGTGGGGACAGAAGGGGTGGGGCATAAAGGGATCAAAAATTACTGAGATGATACTTACATGTACCAATTTCCCAAAATGAATGTAACCATCATGTATCACAAATATGTACTAATAAAATAAGGAAAGAAAGATGGAAACATACCCCAAGTTACACATAAGCGGGAAAGTTCAGATTCTACTAATCAAAACATGAAGGGCATAGATGCAACCATTTTTAAAGAAGATAACCCATTTTTTTCAAAACTAATTCCATGTCTAAGCCTTGATGTCTGCTGTGTGCAAGGTAACATGCCAGCTGTGGCAAGAAACAGGAGCAGGATAAAGTGCCTGCAATAAAAGCTGGTATTTCAGAAATAAAATCACTTTTTAACAACAGCAAACAGAAGCGAAAAGTGCTACAAGGTTATCACCTAAGAGCATATTCTCTTTCATCCTGATTCCTTGAACTATGAAATACACTAAGGGTAAGATAATAACAATGTGACTGAAAATGACAAGGGAAGAAAAAGACAGAAAAGGGAAGCATATAGTTAGAAGGGAATGCAGCCACTCAAGCAAACCAGTTACACAAGTTGCCTATTTTTATTTCACTGTAAAGAACTGTTCTTTACACTTGTCCCTTATGTATGCTAAGGATTAAACCAAGGGCTTTGCATTTGCTAAGCACATGTTCATCACCACCCACTACCCCACTGCTTTAAAATTCAACAACTGAGAGCTCAGGAAAAGAACAGCAAGGATAGTTTTAAACATGCTTGTAGCCTGAACAGCTAAGGAATAACTAGGTACCACAGAGTAACTGTAGGTCAGACAAATGCGGACTCAGTGGAATATCTGAAAAATCTACAACCAGTAGAAACTCACATAATCCCTGAAAGTTCTACAATGTTAGCCTAAAACCTAGAGTAAAACAATACCTCACCCATCAAAGGCAGACATGGCATTGAGGACAGCAGGAAGACTTTAAACTCACCTATACAGATACATGAAGAAACAGAGCAAGTGGAAACCAAGTTTGATCATGGCTTCTTTCATGTGTGACTTCAGCTGCCCTCGATTGTGTATTTCTGTTGGGTCAAACACTCCCATGTTGCCACTTGGCACCATAATGAACCTAATAATGAATATAACATTAGGAGCAAAATCATATCAATAGCAAAGTAAGTAACCCATGATAATCAACCTTTAAATGTGAGCAGCCTTAATGACACCAGCCCTAAATTCATACCAAATGTAGACTGTTACAGGCTACCATTACTTTTCCTTTGCAGATTACAATATTTTAATTTGGAATAATTTTCTGCACTGTGAGACAAATACAGCAACACTCCAGAGAAGGTTATCTTGTGCACAAGGACTCTTTACCTATACAGAGGTAAAGAATAGAATCCTGTAGAATTCTGTAGAATCCTACCAAATCAGTCATCTCGAACTCTTTTTCCACTACAGCTAAAGGAAGTTCCAAGACCAAGCACAAGCCAGGCATGGTGGCATACACCTGTAGTCCTAGCACTTGGAAGGCTGAAACAGAAGGATTACTTTGAGTTCAAGGCCAGCCTGAACTCCACAGCAAGACCCTGTCTCAAAAACATTTTATCAAATTCTCAGAAACTTCTCTATGGAGATTAGGAACTTGGGTTACTTTGACAGAACTGGTGAGACTGAGTGTCTGAGCTTCAATACCCAGACTGTGGGTGTCCCTTATGCACCTCACATCCAAACCCAGTTCACAACCTCTTCCTGTTTTCCTATCAAGGTTCTCCTAGTACAACCCAGGCTTGTGCACTCTTGCCATACACTGTTTCTCAACTGTCACTTCTGTGAAATGCCAAGGCACATCTGAAGTCTACAAATCTGAAATTCTCCCCCAAATCATAGTGGCCCACCTATACCTGAATTCAGAGCATTTTCATGTGAATATCCGGAAAACATCTCCAAGTAGTCTCAGAAAGTATTACTGCTTGCTAACTACTAGGTTATCTAAGAAAAGTGTTACCACTTTCTTGGCGGTCCTTAAAAACTTCATCTTACACCATTCTTCTCTGTTTCATCATGAACAGTCTATTAGTCTTGTCCAATTCTTTTTCCTACTACTATTTTCAGAGTTGTCTCCTTCCCCACAGTCACAACACTGTTCCTTCCTGAGTCTATTTCTGCTCCATGTTTTCTGAACTGGTTTCCCTCCTTGCTGGTTCTTCTCCACTCAAATGACAGAACACAACACCTCCAGAGAAATCTTCCCAAAGTGTCATTTATTTTCATATCAATTTGGCTGTTTAAAAACATATAAAGCAAACAGATAAAAATAGCTAATAAACACATTAAAAGATACTCAGTATCATCAGTCATCAAGGAACAGAAACAAATCACACTGAGATACTGAGGGGCCTGCTCTTCTGGCATTTCTAACAGAGATCCCTGATAGCACAGTCTGGGACACCTAGTACATCGACAGTCTCCTCGGTTCCAGTCCCAATTCTCACTCCTAAATCTATGTTTCACTGAGAGGTCCAGAGAGAACTGGCTGTGCTAAGTTCCCATGGGACTAGCCCTCAGCAGAGTGCAAGAAGTCTGCTCAGAAGGGGTGTTGGTCTCTGCAGCTCATTATGGCAGAGCGGTATGAGACTTATCAGCCTCACTCCAGGGGACCTGCCCTCTGGAGAAGAGGGTTAGACAGAGAATTCTCCCTGGCTCAGGTGCTGTCCAGCCCCAGTAAGGTTGTCCTCTCTTCATGCCACCTCCACCATCTTTTCATGCTCCCTATTCTCCAATCTCCCCTGTATTCTTTTCTATGTCCCTTTTTATCCTAACTGCATGCTATAACATCATGCTTACAAGTTAGCCAATGAATGGTTTTAACAACAAAAAAATCTTATATAAATAATTAAATAAAGCGTAATACTACAGTAGAGCAGCAACCTACAAATATAATTCCAGGACTGTCATGATTATTCCATGGTTCTTCACAAAAAAAATGCTATATATATAATAGTTCAACCATAAAATTATATTCAATTAGTGTTTCCATGGTACTATTTTTGAGCAAACATCGTAAATTTACCAAGTCCCAATATGGCAAGTTACCTAATTTGCAACCTTTAAAATATAATTTTCTTTGGCGTACAGTACTTTGTTATTGTTTTTGAGATAGGGTCTTGCTATATAGTCCAGGCTGGACAGAAAAGCTTTTTTGCCCAGGCTATCCTTGAAATAACGGTGATCACCTTGGCTTGTAGCACCACACCTGGCTTCTCTGAAGTATTTTAATTACAATACACTCTAATTTAAAACAAGCATAGAGCCAGGGATGGGGGCATACCTCTGTAATCCCAGCACTCAGGAAACTGAGGCAGGAGGATCACCTGAGTTCAAGGCCAGCCTAGGTTTCACTGTAAGTTCAAGGCCAGCCTGTACTATATACTGAGACCCTGTCTCAAAAAACAAACAAAAACTTCCACTATAAACAAAGAAGCCTTATACTTATTCACAGGCATTTGACCATTCTTAAAGGTAAATAATACTCCAGATAATAAAAGGGCCAGGAAGACAGCTCAGTGGCATAAGCACCTGCCTGGCAAGCACAACATCCTGAGTTTCATTCCTGGTACCAAAAACAAAAAAACATAATAAAAAAACTCACAAGTCTTTAGACATTAGAACTGAGTAATACATATTTTATAAATGTATGCATGTAAATTTGTGCCTTACGAGACTTAGCCATGCAAACTGACATTTGCCTAACATATCAAAGTGAACAAAAACTTACCCTGCTCTATTAAGGCATTTAGTTGTTCTTTATTTTTTTTTTAATTGTTCTTTATTATTGGCACTTAGTTTTGTGAAGAGAGGAAGATGTTACGTTTAAGAAATGTTTAACTGCTTTAACTCAAAACAGTAAAGAAAGAATACTCACCGATATATATTCCATGTGGCAACAGGTAAGTTGAGAAGGAAGATGAACCAGTGCAATGAGACAAGCATCAATACGCTGACAATGGAATGGCCGATCATTTCTGGAATTACCCACTGTAAGGGAAGGCTACATCATTATACCTCATTGCTCCATCTATCTGGCTGTACATATTACTTAAAGCTAAACCTACGAACGTTCAGAATTTACAAGCTACCATTTCAAAACCATTAGACTCAGATGTTCCAGATCTGCATACTGCTATAACTGCTTACCCCATGTAAACACATCAGGGCACAGCCTAAAGTAAAGCACTTAAATTTCAATTAATTTTATCCTAAACAAAGGCTTGTACTTATTCATTATACAGGTTTGAATAATAGTATTAATTTACTTTCTATTCCAGTATCTAGGCTAAAGTACCTTATAGTAATGTCAGATGGTCAATATCTGTATGTAGTCACCTTTTAAGTTAGAATAGCAATCTTAAAACATTTTCCCTTCTAAAGAGTCCTGAGAAAACCATTCTTTAATGCTTTAATAAAAATAGCACTTTAAACACTTACAGTAACAGATAAAAGTAGACTAAAATGATAATGAACCAGGAGGCCAGATACTGGGCCCCAGTCTGGCACCCATGTCTCTCTCTGCTGTCTGCTCACTGTGGAGTTCTGAATCCTCGTGCATTCCCAGCTATAGCTGCAGGGCTCGACTCAGGAATAATATTCCTCTCTTGATAGGACAGAAATTTTAAAGCAATTTAAGTTTTACTGAAAAAAAAAACTGACACTCCATAGGAAGTCTAAGGTAATGGACAGAGGGAAGATTCCAAAATGAAAGACAGCAATAGATGTAGAAGTGGGGGGACAAAGGGAAAGGAACCTAGAGAAACATATAATATAGGAAACAGAAGAAAATTTCAAAAACACTATAATCAGTAGACTGTAAACTTCCACAGAGAGAACAGGGAAAAAAAGAGAGATCACATAAAAACAGTTAACAGTGCTGGGGGTGTGGCAGAACTCAGTGGCAGAACACTGGCGTGGCATGTATGACATGCATCTCGCTAGGGTTCCATCACTAGCACCATTAAAAAAAAGTGTGAGAAAAAAAATCAAAATGGCATCAGATGTTCCACTTGCATAACCCTGGAAGTCAGAAGACTGCCAAGCTATGTCTTTAAAATTTAAAAGAAAAATCCTTTCCAACCTAGAATCCTGTGCTCAGATAGACCATCATTCAAGGGTATGAATAAAACATTTTAAAACATGAACATTTCAAAGAGTCATTTCTCATGTTTCAAATTTCAACAGGCTACTCCAACAAAATGAGGTAGGCCGACACATAAAATCCAGGAATGAAGGGATCCAGCACACAGTCCCAGAATGAAAACTAAAGCAAGCAGAAGACAGCCAAGAGGAATGAGGCCTCAAAGAAAGACGCCCCCTGGGAAACATTTAACTGACAGGTTATTTTAGTACACTTTAGCATGTGAAGGACTACAAAGATGTACTCAGTTATGAATAATAGAAAACTCAGGACAGATAGAAAGGTGGCAATTAGGAACACTAGGAAAGGCAAAACTACCCAGCAAAAAGCAAAAGAAAAATATCACCGTCTTTTCTGAGGCTCAGCAATAAATAACATTTATATAGCACTACATCACAACGACATAGACAGTGAACGGCAATTTAGCCCTAAAATCAAAAAAGATGGGAAAGGAGATGGACTCTTAAGGGGGTACCTAACAAACCTAATCTTTTCTACCATACTAACAAGTCAATGGATAATATTTAAAACTGACAGATTGAAAAATAGCAGGGCAACATATAAAAAGAGAAATAGTGACATAAATACCAGGGGAAAAAATGGATAGCCCAAATGTTGAAGTCAGTTGCCCCTATCATGCAAGGCAGTTAGGACTCAAAGGGTCAGAAAGGGACTGCTGTTGTTCACTATAAACTTTGTAGTGCGCCACTGACTTTGTGTTCACAGATAACTTTCATAAAAATTAACATTAAAAAACTATTTAAAACTTCAGATCCAAGGAGCAAGGAGAACTTTTCCAGCAGAGGAACAAAGGCAATCCTTTTCTTTTGCGCATGTTATTTTTATGAATGAAAACACACAATGCACCTAAAAATATTAACTAATCCTTTCAATAAAAAAACCAAGTTTTCAAAAGAGGAAGAAGAATAAAGGTTACTAGAAATTTTCACTTACCACAGTTCATTTTTCTAAACAAAATATAACTATTTTTCTTCATGGGCCAGAGAAACTAAAAGTAGACTGAAGATGTAAAGATACATGGGAATCATTTTTAGGTCAAGCCAAAAACACTTTTCGGTATCCTATTTTTATATGAACTTTCACCTAGAAAGCTTTGTCCACTCACCCCATAAAATGAACCAGGAACAACTGGTTTCCCTACTAGACAGACTGTAATTCAGAGTATTCTTGCCCCAACAAAAATAAAGTTCTGACAATACTAAAGGCAAAATGGCCTTAAAACAAATCAACTAATTAAATTCGCCACACATGGTGGTGCACACCTTTAATCTCACTACACAGAAGGACCACTGTGAGTTCAAGGCCAGCCTAGCCTACACAGTACGTTCAAGACTAGCCAGAACTACATAGTGTAGCCTCAAAAAACCTAAGAAATTCCATTTCTCCACAACTCCCCAAAGGAAGGTTTTCCTTCATTCTGCCCTCATAATGAACCTCTACCTAGTTTGAATAGATGTCTGGTAGACAAAGAATGAGAGTAAAGCAATGAAACTCCAATTAGACCTTCTAGCATAATTTCATGATCTAAAATAGTGCAAAACATAGCAGTTTTATCAACATTCCAATGCATACACACCCTAAAATCAACATGTGCTCTAAAACCAAAACCTGTATGTTGAATAGCTATAGTAATCTTTAATACAGAAAACAAAGAATGGACTTCAAAGCTAGGCAACAAGCAAAGAAGTATCTTACCTTGTTTAATTTCGAGCAACATGATCTAGCATTAATATAATCACATTCTAAATCAGACAATGTAATTATCTGATTATCAAGATAAGGAATTATATTTTTTATAACAATGTAAGTATTTAAGTTGCAGAAAGCAATCCCAGTTGCAAGGCAGAATTCCATTTGACTTGAAAAAATTAAGCGTTTCTAAAGTGTGCTCATTAGACAATTTTCTCTTTTACATTCCTTTAAAAATTATTTTCACAAAATATTTGCTCCTTTTGTTAGGATCAAATCTAATCTGACTCAGAACATTTAGTCTGAGTTCCTCAAATGTGGAACAGCCACAATGAATGTAATCATTATATACTGCAAACACGTACTAATAAAGAATTTTTTTTTTTGGAGACAGGGTTTGCTATGCATTTCAGGCCGGCCTTCAAGTCATTCTGTAGTCTAGGCTGGCCTCACACTCACAGCAATCCTCTTGCCTCAGCCTCCCCAGTGCTAGGATTACAGGTGAGTGCCACCACACCCCACTTATAAATTTTGAAAAATGTAGAACAGCTATAAGAAATGGAAAATACGACCAACAAAATATATTTTGAATGTTAAAAGGCTGGGGATGCAGTTCAATGGTAAAGCAGTACAAGGTCCTGGATTTGAACACCAGCATGAAGAAAAAAGGTCAAAAATCAAATTCTCAATACTATAATATAGTGTCTGTGATACCTCCAAAAATGTCCGTAAAGACTTAAAAAGCAAATAAACAAACATAATACAAAAGTATGCAAACATCATGTCATAATGACAGTGGTTAAATTTCAAAAACTGGATTATAATAGCCAACAGTGGTGGCATAACCCTGCAATCCCAGCAGGGGTGCTGTGGAGAGTCTGAGGAGAAAGCATTGCCCCAAATTCAAAACCAGTGTGGACTGCTCAGTGTGGTGGCACATGTCTGTAATCTCAGCATGTAGGAGGCTGAGGCAGGAGGATCACATCCAAGTGTCAAGTGATCAACAATGATTTCAAAGTCAGCCTGAACTGCATAGCGAGACCCTATTTCAAAAAAAGACCAGCCTGGGCTTATGTACATACTGAGTCCCAGGTCAGCTTTAACTTACTTAGTGAGACCCTGTCTCAAAAAAAAGAAAACAGTTGGATTATTTTTTTCTTAAAGGTTTTCCTCTATTTTCCAAACTACACTGTAAATGTGCATTATATTGGAATTAAGTGTTTTTAGTACAAACACATAAATAAAATTTAATTATTCCACATTTGCAGGGCCGGGGACATAGTTCAGCAGCAAAAGCACCTGCCTGGCAAGTGCAAGGTCCTGAGTTCGATTCCTGATACCAAAAATAAATAAAATAAAAAAAGAAATTATTACACATTTGTAGTATATCATGTTTATATTCATCCTGGGTAGTTAGTACAGGTACATATCAACAAATAAAATTTGAAGGACAGATGGACATAAAAATCCTGAACTGAATGAGTGATAGAAACATGGGATTTAACACAATAGAGTCTACTTTTGTTCAGTTGAAAATGTCCTTTAAAACAAGTCAAAGCCAAGCATAGTAGTACATGCCTAGACTCTCAGCACTCTGGGAAGCTGAAGCAAGAAGAATCGTAAGTTCAAGTCCAGCCTGGGCATTTTAGTAAGATCCTGTTTCAAAATAAGAAAACCTAACAGGCCAGGTAAGGATGCAGCTCAGTGCAAAGGCCCTGGATTTAATCCCGAGTACTGAAAAACAAAACAAGTCAAAAGAAATATTCTCAAATAAATACTAAATATCTCCATAAGTTATTTTTCCACCAATTGTTCCTCCTCCAGTTTTATTTCTATGACAAAAGTATCACTTGCCCAGGTTCAAAATATGGAAAGCTATAAACAGCCACTGCCAAATCAAAACATCATTTCTTGCTTATGCCACATTATTCCTTCCTTCTATCTGCACTGTTTCAAATTCAGAAGAACCTATCCCCTACTGGTTTATCTTCAATCTTTCCTGTTTCTAATCCACTCTTCAGGTTTATCTTCCTCATAACCTATTTGGTTCTTTTAATTAATTCCTTAAATAGACAAAAATTTATCATGCATAACATAATGTCTTTAAAGAATATATACATTGTAGCCAGGCATGGCGGACACTAACCCCAGCACTCAGGAGTCTGGGCAGGAAGATCCTTGCACGTTCCAGGCCAGCGTGGGGTATAGAGTAAGACCCTGATTCAACCCGCCCCCCTAAAATACATACAAATATATACTGTATAACAATAAACAGCTAATTAACATGTTTTACTAGTTATCTTATTGTGGTAAGAACAACTTATACGCAGCATATAGTCACCATATTGAACAATATGTCTTGAAATCATTTCTCCTGACACATTCTGTCCTTTGATCAACCCCTCCTCCCCTTATTTTGTTCATAATTGTCAAGGACTCCGCCTGTATGATAAAAGTGAAAGCTCTTCCCTCAGCTCTCAAGCATCCAAAATTTAATCTGATCTAACATCTTAACCACACCAAGATCGCCAGCGTCCCAGGTCTACTCATTAATCAACTCCCACCAATGAAAGGACCACGCCTGTTTCTGCACTTTTGCTCTTGCCCATCCTTCTGACAGTTCCACTCACCAAAGTTCAAAAAACTTCCTACATTTTGTGTTGTCTGCTCTTCCCATTTCCATCTCATCTAACCCTAAATGCAGCAACCCTAAAAAACAGTGAAATACCGAACTTCACCAAAACACATCCTGGGGGGGCTGACTGTAGTTCGATAGTAGAGTACTTGCACAGAGCCTTGGGTTCCGTCTCCAGCACCACAACACAAAAATAAAACATTCTGAATGTACCCTGAACAGTCCACCTAACATGTTCCTATAAAACTGCTGTAAACCAAGCCTATCTTAAATGAGCAAACTTGATTTTCCAAACTCCAAACAATCCAGTTTCATTTCTCTGAGTGTAATACAGCTCCAGTTCCTTATATCACAAGAGGGGCATAGGTCATTAGAACTTGGGCAAGTAAAGGAAAAAAAAGGCAGGCAAGTAATGCTGTCTTTTCGGCAAGCTTCAGCTCCCCAAGCCTAGTAAAACTCAGGGCCTTCTCGTAAGAAACCTTCCAGGTGGGCTCTGCTGCTCCACCGGAGGCAGTGAAGTGGGAACGCAGGTCGGTACTTACTAGACAAGTGCTACGAGGCAAGCACTGCACCGGGTGCTTAGCACACGTTCTCACCGCACGATCTAGAAAACAGACATTTCCCACTTTTTTTTGGCACCAGGAATCGAACTCGGGACCTTGCACTTGCCAGGCAGGCGCCTGTACCCCCGAGCCACATCCCGCCCTGACATTTCCCATTTTAAAGCTAAGAAAACCGACGTTTGGACCGGCGAACTAATGTGCACAAAGAATAACTAGCTGAGGAGGGACTCCAAATTCCGAATTCTGCGCCTTTCCAGGGAACCAGCTGCCCGTCCACGGCGAGATGGAGCCACACGACAAGCACGTTCCGTACAACGAACCTGGCACGCCCCGCCACACGCCTCGGTGGATCGGAAAGGGGCGAAGGCGGCACCCCCCGCCCGCCCGCCCCTTACAACGGCTGCGCGTCACACCGTCGGCGGCAGCGCCGC